CCCTTTACCTTCCCAAGTCACCCGGCGCCGCTTGTTGCCTGCTGTAGCCGCCCTCTGTGTCGGGGCCGGAGGGCCGCGCCCGTCCTGACGAATGAGACTGACTCAGAGTTCGGGAGGGGCGCGGAGCAGCCCCGCAGCCCGATTCTGTGGGCCATCTCCGCCTTTCTGTTAACCAGCGGGCGTCATTTCTTTCGGGACGTTGAGGTAGTCTGGCGGACACTGTGTGTTGAACCATCTACCTTTGGAGATAAGAGATTCACCTGCCAGCAGCACTGGGGCAGGGTTGAGTGTGCACTTTGAAAAAGCTTTTCTCCAACTCTTTTCATGTTGGGTGACATGGATAATGTTCTCTTTCTCAACAGGGGAACTGCCCTCTAGGGAGACGTTCCCTGCCTGGTAAGTTCTGCCCTTGCGGTTACCTAAAATGCTCTCCTCTAGGGCAGAGCAGCGTGAGGAAATCTGGTTCTGTGTCTCTCCTCGTGTTCAAAGACATTTCGGCTCAGATAGCAAACAAAGCATAATGCTACTTAATCTAATAGCCGTTACTTACTCATTCAGCACATAATTACTGAGTTTTTACTATGTATCAGGCACTTTACTAGACCCTTATTAGGGATATGGTGACTGATTCTTGCCGTGAAGGAGCTTACAGGCTAGTTGGGGAAGACAGAGTGAAAATTGCTAAACGAGTGAGCATTCACAAATTGTAATGAGTGCTGAAAAGGTTACAAAATAGTGGACAGAAGAGATTTTGAGCAGGTGGTGTTAAAGATGCGACCTGGAGGATGTGACAAAGCTAGTGTAGTGAAGAGAAAAAGGATGCCAGGCATGGTGGCACACTCCTGTAATCCCACACCCAGGAGGCTGAGGCAGGAGGATCTCTGTGAGTTCGAGACCAGCCTGGGCTGCATAGTGAGTTCCAGGGCAGTCTCACTACATAGTGAGACCCTGTCTCAAAAAAACAAAAAAACAAAAACAAAACAAAACAAAAAATAGCATCTACAAAGCCCCTGAAAAAGATGATTTGGCTAGAGCACTTTTGTTGAGGGAGAGTGTCACGAGACTATTGGAAGTTCAGATTTCATCCCAGTAGTTTCGTTCTGTTTTGTTTTTGGTGGCAGGGAGAGGATTAATTATACTAGATCTTACATAGCTTATTTTTCAGTAAATGGCATACATATTTGTTGAATGTGTCCACTCTTATTGTAGGCTTACTTTATGCTGAGCATTGTTCTAAGTGATTTCTGTTCAATTTTTAATCTAATCATCAAATAACAAAAAATATATTAGCTCTGTTTTAAAAAATGCATAATATAAAACCAGAGGGGTTAAGTGTCTTGGCCAGGGTCACACAGCCAACTGTTGATCAAGTTAGAGCCACCCTGACTTCTTCCTCAGCCTGACCTCTTAACCCATCATGTTCTCATTTACTCATGTACCTAATAGATTATTTATCAAGTGCTTGCTACAAGGCCAGCCCCTGTGCTAGGTGGTCGGGAGACAGATGGTCTCTGCCCTTGAGGAGCTTATGGGCCAGCTAGAGAGACCAAGCAAGTACACATTTAGGCACACATAAGGACATAATTATATTGTGGTTACTAGGAAGGAGAAGTACAGGGTGTAGTGAGAAGCTGGTGTGCCGTAGTATACTTGGGAGGATAATGAATGCAGGGAGAGTGTTGATAAAAGCTTCCCCGAAGAAGCGACATTTAAGCCGAGACTTGAATACCTGAGGCAAGAATCCAGGCAGAGGGAACAGTTTGTGCAAAGGTTTCCAAGCAGAAAGGGACTTGACCAGTTTTAGAGATGGGAAGGATGCCTAGAAAGATAGGGCTGGATGTTATACAACTGTGTAAAATATTTGAACTTTATTTACCCTAAGAGCCAGAGGACTATAAGGCATCTAGCACAGGTGTCAGTTCATAATGGGCTCTCAGTAAACTTTGTTTTCAACTGACGATCGTGAGAGATGTCAGAAACATTTTTCTCCACTTTATAGAGTGGCATAACAGAAGAAAGAGCCTTGGACTTGGGTTTTTGCATTTGGCTCAGGGATTCACCATAGGCTAATCACTAAACCTTGGGAAGCCCTATTTATATATGCAGTAATAATGGCAGATAGTCATCGTTCTGTTTCAGAGAGCTGCTGTGAGACTTGAGGTCATATGTGAAAGTTTTTTATAACCCTAAAGCACTGTACAAGTGAAACTTGCAGTAGGATAAACTCTAAATTGGATTCAAAGATCCAAAAATCATGGGCTGCCATAATCTAGGTCTAAGACATGCTATACTTAGAATTTACACTGTGTAGTCATTGGTGCTGGTCACAGAGGTACTGCCTGGCGACTCTGGGAAGGTTTGTGAGGTGGTGGGCATCAGGGGAAGCTCTCTCAATTGGTGTCTCAGGAGGAGTTCTTAATGGATTGGTAGGAGGGGAAAAAGACGAGACTAGTTTTCAGGTGTTAATTGAAGAAATGCAGTTATTTATGAAAAGGACAGTTGGTGGGCAGAAAGGGGCTCTTTGTTTAGAATGAGTAGGGTGGAAGACTTTAGGAAGAGCAAAGGAAGACGATGAGCTGAAAGGTGGGAATTGTATTTGCTTTGTTTTGAAACAAGCTGGAGACCAAATCTAAAGTAGTTCTGCCTTTGTGCTAGGGTTTAGTCAGGAAAGTTTCTAACCCATTTCGCTCAAACCCAGACCAAATAACCCTTGCTTCTCCATTTAGATTATGTGAAGTTGCAGGATAAGCTGTCATGTCTTTTTTCAAGCTTCGGTTGTTTGAAGATATGGGGAATAGAGATATTTTATTAGAAAAAACAGGGATAACACAAATATATGTGTTTCTCAGGTAAATAAACTTTGGGCTATGCCATCAGATATCTCCCCTTTCCTCCGTAAACACATACCCACTCTCAACCTTTCATATCCATTTCTCTCTGCTTTTAAGGTTACTTTGGCAGAAAAATTTTGAGAACCAAGATGTAGTGTGATAGAAATTATATTGTTGTCTACAGCTAGTTCTGCTCTGTCTTGGGGTAAGGGGATGCACAGACCTCTCTTCCATCTCATATTCTGTATAAGATAAGAGTTGTTGGTTAAGAGTTGTTTTGTTTCTTGCAGGGGTCTCCTTATGTCAGGGACCAAGTTCCCCTGACAGCAGGAAGATTGTGTAAGTATCACGGAGAGTACAGATATGTGGCCACCAGGTATTTTCTTAGATATCGGTTCTAAATTTGACCATCTTGTTTCTTCATTGGTCTCCAGACCCAGAAATTGAGGTGGCTATGTTGAGTCCCTAGACCTAACCTTGATGATCATTTTTTATTTATTGTGCACCTTGGGTGTTAGCCCATGCCAATGTTAGGTCAAGAGTATTCCTGTTCTCAGGTGGTTAGATTATAACAAAAGATAATTTGGAGCCCTCTTTTTTTTTTTTAAATGGGAATAGAAGTAGAGAGTGCTTCTAAGTATTCTAGTTGGATACAAGTGCATCTGAAGTGCTGGAGGTCACGTTTATTGTGGACATTGAGAGCATCCTCTTGGTAGCCTAGTTATTCATTTTAGAAACAGTAAAAGCAAAAGTCTAGCTGATCCCTGGTACTTTGACTAGTTCAGAAGTAATGCTGTTACCACATAATGCAGAGCTTGGTGAAAGGCCACCCATGTGTATTTCAGATTAACTTCTGCTTATAAATGTTGCTTAAATGCTACTTTGCTTTCCAAGTGTTTTCAGTGTGGTGATAAGAGGATGCTCTCTAGTAATCCGTTCAAGAGCTATGAAGCTACTTTGACTATAGGAAGAATCTTCAAAGTGAAGAGACAGCGGATTAGCTTCCTTAATGCGCATCACAAAGAGTTTTATTTAATTTGGAAAATGTTGCACTTAGTATTAGAAGTATGAATTCCTGTGTTATTTTCAGAGGGCAGTTTGGCACTTATGAGTCTTTGAATCTTGTGTACCTGGTGATCTAACTATTTCATTTCTAGGGATCTACACTGAACTAGCACTGTAAACCCTGCTTTCTCTCAAAATGGCAGACATCAGGGTTAAGCTATAGCATGTTAATGTGTTCACACTATGATAGTGGGGAAAAAAGCAGATTATAGTACAAAGTAATTCCATTTTCTGCTGTATGGTACAATCCTATTATAAACATTGTTTTTGCTGTTTCTAAAATTCTGCAGTGAAAATCATTGCTTTTGTAATTTAAGAAGTTAGATCAACATACATTATTTACCTGTAATTTAAATGAAAGTTGAGCAATAGTTAATCCTTATGTAATATATTCAAGTATTTGAAAGTTATTTAAAAAAAAAAAAAACCCCACTTCCTGGGCATGGTGGCACATGCTTGGGATCCCAGCACTTGGGAGGCTGAGGCAGGAGGATTGCCACAAGTTTGAGGATAGCCTGGGCTTCATAGTGAGTTCAAGGCCAGCCTAACTTACTTAGAAGACCCTGTCTCAAAACAAAAAACACTAAATTTTGGGTTAGATCGTTCCTAGTTGTGTCATCCTAAGCTAGTACCTAGTTTTATGTTATGTATTACCTTTTTTATGAAAGAGGTACTTTATTTTAAAAATCTTTTATTGTAAAATTTTTAGTGTATTTTTATTTAACAGGTAATTCTGTGTTATTTTCATGGTTCAAAATTCAGAAGGCAAAAAAGGAGTATTCTTGTTCTCTAGCCCCACTGAATGCCTCTTCCCAGAGGCAGCTGGTGTCCCAGGTTCCTAATGCCTGGCTGAGTGGGTCTCTGCATTTGTACTCTTCAGTTCTTGCCCGTGGGAATCTGAGCTTTCCTTCAGCTCCCAGTGCTGGGGCTCTTACCTAGGACCTCGGCATGCTCTACCACTGAGCTATATTCCCACCCCTTTTTGTTTTAATTTTGAGACAGAATCTTGCTAAGTTGTCCTAAGTGCCATCAATCTCCTGCCTCGTACTCTTCAGTAACTGAGATAACAAGGATGTGCCAGCACAGCTGGATGTGGGCATTTGCTTTTACATGATTACAAACAATGTTTTATGTTCTGTGTTTTTAAAAATTTACATTTTTCCCCTTGAGTCTCTGTAGAGAATATAAAGTTATTTTGGCATTATAAAAGTAAAAAAACCAAAGGGCAACTTAAATCTATTTTACTTTCCTATTGTAAAGGTTCTTGTTGAATATTCATACAATCCTTGAGGTGTAGAAAGTTAAGTTTCCATCAGTACAAGTCATTCTCTCAAATTATATATAACTGTTAACCCTAGTTACCATATATTTCTATGTCTCACGTTCTCCAGAGGTAATTATTCATGGCTTTGTGCCTTCGAATCGGTATCATTCTCCACTTTACACTATTTAATGAAATGCTGTACCAGAAAGTGCTTTGGTCTTTGGACTGAATCTAGAATGGACTGATGTGCTGTCTCTCGGCAAGAGAACAGGAGATAACCATGATGGTTTTCTTTCTTTTTTTTTTGGCATAACACCTTGTTTTACTTCTGAGTTAACTGCCATGTCTTGCTGCTTTATCTGATCTAAATCTGTTGTCGTGAGGACAGAAATTCCATTATACCTGGTACATCAACATGTACTCCTGAGGGCATGATTTCTATCTTATTTGGATTTGGTTAATCCAGATGCTAAATCATTTTGGTGAGTCTGCAGTGGACTGATATTTTTTTTCTTTAGAGAACTAAATGTTAGTCTCTCTGTTTGTGAGAACTGGCATTTCATTGCAGTACAGGGCACTGTATAAGGCATCCAGGCTCTTGGACTCTACTGCTGAGTCCGAACCTCGATCTGGCCTGGTGATGAATACTTTGACAAATTCCTCTGAATAACGGCGATGGGTATCTTGGCCAGGAATCCCTGATTTAAAGGGAAGGTGACCCATAGTGCCTAAACTAGTCTAAAATATGAGTGATTTGACTAGGAAAGGAATAACTTTTCTGTTTCTTTTGCAGCTTTGACAACAGTAGTATCTTCAGTGTTCGCTACTTCAGAACCACAGCTGTGTGCAGTAAGTACCTGTTTTTTTTAGGAATGTAGCTTTCCTGGAAAGAGCAACAGCTGGCCAAGTTTAATTAAAGAAAAACATTAAAAAGGAAGCGGGGGAAAGGACTACTTGTGATTTTTGCTTTATTCCTAGAGGATGATGTGATTACAGTCATTACCCCAGCGTTTGCTGAATCTGTCACAGAGGGAGATGTCAGGTGGGAGAAAGGTAGGATTTAGTTTCCTTTCACTTCTTAAATTTAAATACTTCCCTAACTGGCTCCCTTCCCCTATGCTAACCAGCGGAACTTCTGGCTTTACACCCTTTTCTTCTATATGGATACATGGCTACATCCACTCTGGCCCTGTAGAAAAGGGGTCTGTAACACATCTGAAATTCTCATGGCTGCTGGAGGCTCTCCCCTAACAGGTACTTTGTCTTTTCAGCTGTTGGAGACACAGTTGCAGAAGATGAAGTGGTTTGTGAGATTGAAACGGATAAGGTGAGCTTGGCTTACCCTATATTAGAGATAATTTTTCATGATCAACCATGAGCTTCTTTTTTTAAAAGAAAAAAGTAGAAAAAAATTTATTGAGAGAAAGATAGCTTCTGTCTAAGAGGGACAGAAGTGAGACCGGAAAATGGCTTGCCCCATGAGCTTCTTGTTTAACTGTTCTTTAAAGATAAATTTTAATTATCTCTAACCTCAGTTGTAAAAGTGTTGGAGTAACTCATTAAAAAAAAAGCTATTATAGATTTTTGTGCAAGTATGTACTAAGGGCAACTAGTAATTTTATTTATTTTATTTTTTATTTTTGGTACTGGGGATTGAATTCAGGACTTGGTGCATGTGAGGCAGGCGCAGTGCCACTGAGGTAAATCCCTGGCCGAACTAGTAACTTTAGTTACTTTAATAACTTTATAACCAGTCTGGTAGTTCCTTTTTTTTTTTTTTTGGTATGGGGAGTCAAACTTGGTTCCTTGTGCTGTGAGGCAGGCAGTGGAACCACTGAGCTAAGTCCCCGGCCCTCCATTTTTTTCTTTGTGGTGCATAAGCTGTTCCAGTTGCTTTTCCATGTATCATTTGGAAGCAGATTAACTGACAGATTAACTTTGTTTTAAGGTTTCCAGGACAGGATAGAAAAAGTGAATCTTCACAATAACAGTAATTTGTCATTGCTCTGACTCAGAAAGTGTGGCTGTAGGTGTTTCTGTATACAGGGCCCTGAATAAATCAGGTTGCACCCTTGTGACTCATATTGAGGATTTCATACAGTTAATTTGCTTATGCAGGGTAAAAATGTGGAATCTTTCTCTCTACCTTTCCTCCTTCTCTAGACATCTGTGCAGGTTCCATCACCATCAAATGGTGTGATTGAAGCTCTGTTGGTACCTGATGGAGGAAAAGTCGAAGGAGGCACTCCTCTCTTCACACTCAGGAAAACTGGTGGTAAAGAAGTTCTCCGGGTGGTTAAGGTCTCCAGTGTTCCCCCTTGGGCTGAGCATACTGTTCTAATAATTCCCTGATTTCTCTGAAACTCTATGGGATTCTAGTTGCCCTTGGTTGAGGGTATAGGAGGAATAATATTTATATAGAGTGAACTTTAAATGTCAAGTTCTAGAAGGAAAGAGTAGTTTTTTTTTAAGCTTCATAGTATTCTGTCCTTTCTATGGATGTTTCTTTCTTTCTTTCTTTCTTTTTTTGGAGGCAGGTATGTAGTTGAGGCTGACCTGAAACTCACTATGTAGCCCAGGCTGGTCTCAAACTCACAGTGATCCTCCTGCATCAGCCTCCCGAGTGCTGGGATTACAGGAGTGCGTCACCATGCTCGGCTTTCCATGAATGCTTCTTACAGTGAATCTTTTCTTAAAGTTAGAAACAAAGATTCTGAAGACAGTGTCCCTTAACTCTGGCATGAGAATCATATGGGTGCTTTGAAAATAATACAGATAGCTGGGTGTGGTGGTACACACCTGTAATCTCAGCACCCTGAAAAGGTGAAGCAGGAGGATCACAAGTTTGGTCGCAGCCTAGGCAGCTTAGTGACTTAGTGAGACCCTGTCTCAAAAGAAAAAAAAATTTTTTTTAAAGGGTGAGTGTGTGGCTCAGCAGCCCCCAGTACCACAATACATACATAAATACCAACAATATTAGGTACCATGACTCAGAGACTCTTATTTATGTTTCCCGACTAATTCTAATATACAGCGGGACTGTTCTTAAGTGAGAAGAATTATTTCACATTGTCTGTTATGGAGAATTAAGTATAATTTCTATTCTCTCGTAATATCTGTGATATTTCTCTTGGGAAGAAATGAGAAAGGAATTTGTACAGACCTCATGGTATTTGAGATATATTTTTGACTCTTAGTTAAATGCTCTAACTACTAACATCTCTTTCATTTGTTAAAATAGTCAAGCAGAAAGATGTTGGATTGCTTGCTTCACTGAGGTTGATCAGGCCAAGACAAGTCCGAAAAAAAGTGGAAAAAAAATGTACAGTAGTAGGCTAGGAAGTAAGATGGAATCTTCCAGTTGAAATCCATCTTCCGATCAGTCATTTTTTAGTGTCAAAGGAAAGTTCTTATAATTTAAATATTGAACTGGATGTAATCTCCAGATGGGTAAAAATTGAAATCATCTAATTTAAAGTTGTTTGTTTATTGTATGACTATCTCATTGGTTTATGAGAGTCATCCTGGATGAAATGCTTTGAACTCCTAAGTTCATTTATTTATTTATTTTTGTACTGGGGCTCGAACTTGGGACCTTGCGCTTGCGAGGCAGGTGGTGGAACCTCTGGGCCAAATCCCTGGCATGAACTCCTAAGTTTAAATGAGCCCATGATTAAACTTTTTTTTCCTTCCTTCCTTCCTTCCTTCCTTCCTTCCTTCCTTCCTTCCTTCCTTCCTTCCTTCCTTCCTTTTTTTTGTACCTTGGATCGAACTCAGGCCCTTGTGCTTGTGAGGCAGGCACTGGAACCACTGAGCTAATAAATCCCTGGCCCAGTTAAACTATTTTTTTTAATGGTGCAGGATATTCTAGCTGAGTATAGTGACGCATGCCTATAATCCTAGGATGTAGGAAGGTAAGTCAGGAGGATCACAAGCTCCAACCCTCTTGGACTCCATGTGAGCTTGAACTCAGCCTGAGCTACATGTGACATCCTGCCTCAAAAACAAGCAAAAAGAATATTTTTTTATATGTAATGTTAAAATAGATGAGTTTTATCAATATTATTATAATTAGTTTCTGTGTATATTTTAACACTTAAATTGCCTGGGCTTGTTTTGCTTGGAAGTTTTCGTTTCCTTGGGCTTAGTAGGTGCTTTGAAAATAACCTGCTGTGCTGGGTGTGATGGAACACACTGGGAGGCTGAGGCAGGAGAATTGCAAATGCATGCCTAGCCTGGGCAATTTAGTGACAGACCCTGTCTCAAAGTGAAACATAAAAAGAGCCAGAAACGAAGCTCAGTGTGAAATCACCAGGTGACTGAATCAGAAAGGCAGCTAAATTGAGCCACTTAATCTGATACAGGGTATTTAGAGTCCCTGGGGAATAGAGATAGTGCCTTATATCGTTATGTGTATTTCATAGTGTCTTACATATAGCAAATATCCAGTAGACATTTGTTAATGGATTGGAAATGGGGCTTTTGCCAGTAAATTCTGCTTAGAATCTGCAATTTGGTTGTCTTCATTCCAGACAGTGCCAGTGATGTCTATTTTTGTTTTTTAGCTGCTCCTGCTAAGGCCAAGCCAGCTGATGCACCTACCGCAGCTCCAAAAGCAGAGCCTACAGTATCAGCAGTTCCTCCTCCCACTTCAGCCTCCATACCTACTCAGATGCCACCGGTGCCCTCACCCTCACAGCCTCCTTCTAGCAAACCAGGTAAACTTCCAAGTCCCGTAAGTTTTTCTCTGGGAGAAGAACACCTTGTCAAATACCATGTTTCCTCAATAGCTACAGGCTGAGACTGCTCATGGCCCTGAACAGAACAGGTTGACTGCTTTGTAGTACAATCTCTAGACTTTATACCTTAAGATGTAAGCTTACATCCAGGCTTCCTGTTTACTAGCTGTGTGACTTTGGGCTACTTACTTCCTGAGGAGATTTTTCATCTGTGAAGTCAGAGTGACACTAATACACTTCAGAATATTCTGAGGATTAAGTGATAGTTCAGTATAATTGCATTGGCATGTACTCAGAAGATGTTCCTTTCCTTCTCTGATGCAGCTGCACCTTCTCTCTTCATTTTCAGTCTCTGCAGTTAAACCCACTGCTGCACCTCCACTGAGTGATCCAGGAGCTGGCCGAGGTCTGCGTTCAGAACATCGGGTAAGCCTCTGAGAACTACTTCCAGGAAAGAGTTGGGGGGCAGTGTTGAGGTTAATGGAGTATGAATATAATTGTTCCTACCATTGAATGGATGGCAGTTCATGCTTTTGGCCTTGATAAATAAAGCATAGAAAATGGCTTATTTGTGGTCAAGGAGCCATCAAATGGTAGGCTGGAACCTGAGGTCTTCTCTACACTTGTCTGGTGGTTGTTCCACTGTTTTTCCACTTGTCCTGTGGCTTTTCCACAGTGGCTTTTCCACCCTGCTATGCTACCAATGAAATGCCCATAAGTAAAATATTTTCAGGGAATGGTAACGTAGTACTCCCTCCCTCCTGCAGTGATGCATACTTTAGAGAGGTTTAGTGAGAGCTCTAGTGCTATACTTCCTGGATACTTAGCTGTAGTTATGGTATGTAATACACAGTCACAATATCTGTCAGGCCAAAGATAAAATCTTAAGGAAGTATGGCTAAGAGTATAGGTTCCTCTGCTTGAGAATACTTCCTAAAAATACTATAGGCTCAGGAGTTTGTTGCTTGTAATTTTCCATTCCACAAGGAACTGTTCTCATGCAAAGCTTTACCAACAAAAATTACCCCTTCAGTAATGATTCCTAGGTTGGCTAGACAGAACTACACCACGTTCTTTTTATGCATTGGTTTTGGTGTATAAATCACACCATTTCCTGGGTCTCTGTTCTTGGTCAAATTTCACTCATATCTGAGTGAGGGCCTATGTTTGGCCTCTTTTCTTATTGTTGCTCAGAGGAGGAATGCCACCACAAGAAAGGGGAAGCCTGGAACTCCTGTCATACTTATATCCAATATTCCTTGCCATGTACTCCTGGCAAGCTTAATTGTCTGACTACATGGGAAGTCCTCAAGCCAGAGATCACACTGTCAATACTTATTCGACTTTTACTTTCAGGAAAAAATGAATAGGATGCGGCAGCGAATTGCTCAGCGTCTGAAAGAGGCCCAGAATACATGTGCAATGCTGACTACTTTCAACGAGATTGACATGAGGTGGGATCTCTATCCCTTTTACTCTTCGTGTCTCCATGTTCTCTTTTTTGGAAGAACATTTAACTTGCCCCAGTCCCCACCTATTGCTGCTTGCAAAAGTAGCTGGACAAGAAGTACTTCTTGGCTTTGTTTGGTGTTGACTTACACAGGATGACTCTTGGTTTTGTCCTTTCTGATTTTCTTAATATTATGCCTGCCTCCTCTGTGTCTTAAGAAACTTAGCCTTTCAGACTTTCGTACTTCTGACAAGGCTAGTAATAGTTTTGAACTCATGCTTAATGTCAGATTGCCAAGTAGAGATGGGGCAGCTAGGCCAGTAGGGCTTAATCCCAGGCCTCGTCATGGATGGAGAACCCCTGACAGAATTCCCAGAGCTAAGGCCCTACATGCTAATATTTTCCAACAGTCACCTGCTCCTTGGTCAGGTTCCTGTAACTCACAATCAGGCAAGGCTTGTCCTCTTTCTTTTTTTCCAGCTTTGGTAGTGAAATGGAAAGCAGGTTGTGTTTAAAAATTAAAATGTCAGAATATTAAAGGAACTAATTCACTCTACCCATTTCTCTGGTGAGCTAATTGTTGATTCACCTGTTTTCAAGATCTTTTTTCCCCCCTAATACAGGGGAGCTCTATCATTGAGCTATATCTCCAGCCCCGTACATATGTATGTATGTATGTATGTTATATTTATTTATTTATTTATTTATTTATTTATTTATTTTGAGATAGAGTCTTGCTGAGTTGCCCAGGTGGTACTTGAACTTGTGATCCTCCTACCTCAGCCTCCCTGAGTGTAGGGATTATAGGCATGCACTGCACTCAGCTTTCTTCAAGATTTTGATTTGTGCAAGTATCAGCACTATAGGGAAGAGAAAGTAGTTTAACAAACATATTTTGAGTGCTTCTTATCTATTAGGAGCTAAAGTGTGAAATTCAAGAGGGATATAAAGATTACTAAAAGAGGCTCTGATTCTTTAGAGCTTAACTGTTTTGGATGAACTCAAAGTCTAGAAGAAAAAGTGAAGTATAAAAATGAGTATGAAACAGAGGAGGGAGTGAGTTTATTTGTTTTTGAGATTGGGGGTACTGTAGCAAGGGTTTCCTGGAGAAAAGAGTTTTTCTTTTGTTTTTGTACCAGGGATCGAACTCAGGACCTTGGACTTGTGAGGCAGTTGTCAGCACCACTGAGCTAAATCCTCAGCAGAAAAGAGTTTTTAATTGGCTTTCAAGAATGACCAGCATTCCGCTGGATATGGTAGTACATGCCTATAGTCCCAGCTACTTGGGAGGCTGAGGTAGGAGGATTGCAAGTTTGAGACCAGCCTGGGCAACTTAGCAAGAACCTATCTCAGGGGGCGCCGGGGATTTAGCTCAGTGGTTCCCCCACCTGCCTCGTAAGCTCAAGGATCCAAGTTCGATCCCCGGTAACCCCTCCCAAAAAAAAGAACCTATCTCAGGGCTGGGGGATGTAGATCAGTGGTAGAGCACATACCCAGCATGTGCAGAGCCCTAGGTTCAATCTCTAGTACCTTGAGAGAATATGACTAGCATTTTAACAAGTAGCCTTGTAGAGAAAGGTTATTCCAGGCAGTGTGAACAGGTCTGGATCATGCCATAGGCAAAAGTGTAAGAAGTAGCCAAAGATAATTTCTGCCATTAAAAATATGCATGTTACCATTATGTTTATCTAAAAGGTACCAATAAGGTTTTGCATTAAAAAAAAATTATAAATATGTATAGAAAAGAATGGTAAAGAATGGAGCATATTTCTGAATGTTTTGAATGCCAGGGTAAGAATTATTATTAAATCAGGAGGTAAACCATCAAGTCTTCAGGTCATCCATCTCTGCTTCCTTTTGTCTAGAGTATTAAGTCTGCTCATCTACTTTTTTTTTTTTTTTTTTTTTTTTTTTTTGATTTTTTTTTTTGAGGTGCTAGGGATTGAATCTAGGGCCACATATGTGCTAAGGAAGTATTCTACCACTGAGCTATATCTCCAGCCCTGCTTTTCCACTTTTCATCAGAGAAATTTGTTTTCCTCTGACAAATAAAACAGCATGGCTGATTGGGGCACTGTTGACCATTTGTGGTAATTTCAGTAGAGGTCATCCATTCTGTTAAGCTTTCTAAAGAGACTGGATGTCATTCCAGCCAAAGATTCTCTGCTGCCTGTAGTACATAGGAAAAGACCTTACCTAATGAACCACAAAGGCTACAGCTTATGTTTCAGTGCATTAAGGCCAAATTGAATTGGACTTTGAAATTCTATCCAGTTTCTTAAGACAAAATGTAAATATTTGTGGCCCTGAAGGATGCAGTTGACTCAATAGCCTTGATTGGAAGGTAAGTACAATGGCTCTGTCTCCTTTCAGTAGCTAATTGAGGTGTCACCTAACAATGGCCTAGGGTCTCACTGGCAGTAATTTCGTTTAGATCGAGTGCCCTTTGGGTCTTGTGTGGATCATCTAACCTATAAGGGCCCTTTCTGAGACTTCCCCCTTTCCTCTGTTGTCCCATTTCTGCCTCCAAGGGCAGAGCTCTGAAATAGAAACTCCTTAATGACCAGAGAGTGGCATTCAGGCAGGTTTCAGAGCAGAGATATCTATCACTTCTCTTTCCCTCTTCTGCAGCCCTTCTGTCTTGGGAACCAGTAATGTCTTTAGAGTGGTAATCCTAGCACTAAATAAGGTTAGACTCAGGAAAACAAACATTTAAAAAACCCAATCAGTCCCCCTAGGAAATTTTCCTTTTTTAAAAACAAAAAGTCTGAAGGGAGTAGTTAAAGTTGTACCACATCTTATCTTTCGTGCTAATGTTGAATTAAGCCATTATAGGGGGAAAAGGAGAACCAAGCATTTTGGCCTGAGATAAAGTTAAATTTGATTTTTGTTTTGAAATGCTGTTCTGGTAAATACAAAAGTTTTTGCAGCGAAATGATGAGAAAGCCATTTTACACTAGCTTTGCAGTGTATGCATGAAAAACCAGTCCTGACAGCCCAAAGGCTGTTGGAAAGGCTTCTCAAGCAGTGAGGCCCTGCTGCTGAATCTGAAGGGGACAGGCCTTCCTCCGCATGAGACCATTATTCTAAATACTGAGGGAACCACATTTATTAAACTAATCTTAATCAAGCACTGTGTTTTCATTGTGTTTGTATCTTGGTACCCAGCCCTGACTCTCAAATGTGGTGGTGGTACAGTGTCTGTTTTAAAGGAACAAACAGTTGCTAACTCTGCAGAGATAAAGAGAGAATCTGTCGAAAATTGTTTGTCTTCCCCTTTATAGCCATAAATGCTTTTGCTCACATGGAGCCCATTCACCTATAGGTTTTGTTGTAATTTTTCTCTAGAAAGGAAGACTACTGCAAAGAAAACGATCAGGTTTGATGGTGTTTAAAAAATAATTCTGGCCAGGCATGGTGTTGCACATCTGTAATCCTCTAAGAGGCTGAGAGGCAGAAGGATTGCCTCGAGTTTGAGGCCAGCCTGGGCTACGTAGTGAGTTTAAGGCCAGCTTGGACTACACAGTAAGATGCTGTCTCAAAAAGAAAATAAAAATAATTCTGACAAATAGATATTACTTATTTGTAGACTTTGTTTAAAATACATATATACATATACATATATATATACATATATGTATATGTATGTGTGTGTATATATATATATATATATTTCCCCCCAAGATGAACAGCTCATGATTTTAATATAGTCTGAAATATTTTCTCATCCAGGACAAGGATGCTGGTGTGCTCTTGTGATCTCACCTTCATTTTTTATTTTTGGTACCAGGGATCAAACTCAGGACCTTGTGCTTGTGAGGCAGGCACAGTGCCACTGAGCTACATCCCTGGCCCTCTCCTTCATTTTCTTTATCACTGAAACCTGTGACTTTTAGAACATAAGAAAGCCTTGTAAAGGGCTCAACCTAGCCTAAAGAGCGATTAGCCCTGAGACTATGTATGTATGTATGTATGTATGTACTGAGGATTGATCGATCCCAGGGCCTTTTAAAAAATAGTTAAAAAATAGCTTAGTTGCCCAGGCTGGTATCAGATTTGCAATCTTCTTGCTTTAGCCTTCCAGAGTAGGAGTGCAGGCATACACCCCTGCACCCAATTTGGTCCTCTCTTTTTTTTTTTTTTTCCAGCTTTAATTGAGTTTATTGGTACATTTTAGGGATACAGTAGGTCCTAATTCTTTTATATCCAATTTTTGTGAAAGAACAAGGTTATTTTATTCACCTTTAGTGAAATATTTTAAAGCTTGAACTTAAGTAGATGGTATAGAATATGGGAAAGCTCAGCCAAGCTTTGTGGTCACTTTCTTTTGTAACATGTTTTACAGTAACATCCAGGAAATGAGAGCTCGGCACAAAGATGCTTTCCTAAAAAAACATAACCTCAAACTAGGCTTCATGTCGGCATTTGTGAAGGCCTCAGCCTTTGCCTTGCAGGAGCAGCCTGTTGTAAATGCAGGTGAGTCTTTATGGCCAGAATTGCAGAGGTCTTGGGAGGTAGGTATATGAACACAGACTGCTCCAACATTTTGGGGTCAGCACACTGAGCCCTTTTATTTCCTAACTCTAGAAATATGGCCAGTTTCCCCAGGGATTCCTTGATTCACCTTCCTGAAATGGCATTATAGCGACTGTCTTCCCACCAGATGAGCAGAACAGTTTCTCTTCCCAGTGCACAGCATGGCAGCTGCTTTGGCTGCCTGTCCTCCAGACTGCCTCAGATTGGGATGGGATGAAAGCTTGTGGTCTGCCTATCTCCTAAGCCCCCAGCCCACCCACTTCATGTGCCTTGTTACTTTGGGGCCTGACTTCCACACTTGACTTAGGCTGCAAGTTGACCTTTGATCTCTTTGGGATGAGCTTCTTTGGGAAGCCTTTGGCTTGGCCTTTCTTGTGGACTTGGTACTAGTTCTTTTTACGCACCCAGTTTTTTCCATATTGAGACACTTCTCTGTTCTCTGGAAGGTTGGAGAAGGGTCAGTGATACTTGCAATCCTCAGAAAGTCATCTAGAAGTAGGAGCCCTAGTCTTTTCCTTAGAGTGCTGTGCTCTAGGTAGGTAGGTAGGAGGGCTTTCTCTGCTTTGCCCCCAGTGTATTCATTTTTTTTTTTTTTTTTTTTTTGGTACCAGGGATCGAACTTGGGTCCTTGCGCTTGCGAGGCAGGCCACTGAACCGCTGAGCTAAAATCCCCAGCCCTGCCCAGTGTATTCTTGTTTCTCACATTCTTCTCACATCTTCCTGATTGGCTTTCTCTTTTCCTTTGGCCCCATTTCTTCTGCTTGCACACACTTGTGGGCAGCTGTTGAGGTACTCTTACCTTCTCTTCATCTTATGTAGTTTCCTTGATGCCTTATCTAACACTACAACATGCTCTTTTTCTGGGAAAGATACCCAAACTTTTTTTTCTCCATACCAGGGATGGAACTCAGGACCTTGTGCTTATGAGGCAGGCGTGGCTCCGGCCCTCTGAAGCTTTAAAAAAAAAATTTTTTTTTTTCAGTACTGGGGATTGAATTTAGGACCTTGTGCTTGTGAGGCAGGCCTGGCCCACCTCCTGAGCTTTTATTTTCTCATACATGCTACATATAAATGTTCAGCTGTTGGCTTGCTATCTCACACTGGTATTGTTAAAGTTGGACCACCCAGGTTTCTCCTGAATCTCCTAGTGAGAGGCTTCCCCTTCCTCTTCTTGAAAGTGGGGAGCAGAATGACAGAGCATCTCTGCCTTCCTTTGCAGAGTTGTCCTTTTGGAGCACTTAATAACACTGTTCTCTGCTAAGGGAGGGGCATGAGTAGAGCCTAGTTAGCCAGATCTTAGTACATCATATCCCATGGAAGCCAATATGTTGAGCCTTTCTGAGGGCTGCCAAAGAATGGATACTACTGCTACACACGGAGGTCAGTCACAGGACTTGGAGATGGTATCACTGGTTGGGATGGGAGTAAGTAGAGTTCCAGTTGCCATCTGTAATGTAATCACTTTCGTAGTGGCTGGCCAGACCACGTGTTATCAAGCACTGCAGATTCTTACTCTGTTAATGCAAATATCAGCTCTTAGCCATAGCCTGGGGCGGTGTATATGACACGTGTTTTCTCTCATAGTGATTGATGATTCAACCAAAGAGGTGGTGTACAGGGACTACATTGACATCAGTGTTGCAGTGGCTACTCCACGGGTATGTCAGGGCAGGAGGTGCGAGTGCTGATCTTCTCCGCATAGCTGTGTGAAGCAGGTCATATGGGAGAGATCATTTCTGTAATTCTGTATTTTTATGGGTTTTTTTGGTACTAGGGATTGAACTCAGGACCTTGTGTTTGCAAGGCAGGCAGTAGCACCACTGAGCTAAATCCCTGGCCCTGTAATACTGTAGTTTTAATAAGTTTGTAATCTTTAACCACACCACATTCTTATTTATCTTAATGTCAAGCCTAAATATCTTAGGCTTTTTTTTTTTTTTTTTTTGTCCCAGGGTTTGAATCAAGGCCCTTCACCT